GAATATTTATTCTCTTGTTGCCCATCTCCCCACTTTCAAAAACGATGCTACGTCACTGTTCTCTCGCCTGAAAAATATAACTCTAGGAAAGTTATTTGTTGGTATTTGAATTACAGTTTAATTGTTATAAAAATGTTAAATATTTTGATACTAGTTAACCTTTATAAATTGGGTTGTTTTTCAGAACCTTCCACTGAACTGAACTTTATTTCACGACAGATAGTAACTGCTGATGCGCGTGATTCTAGGGACAGGGCTTTGCAAAGGAGTGAGGAGCGTTATGGGTAGGCAGGCGCGGATCCAGAATTTTTTTTTCCGGGGGGGGGGGGGGGGCAACCAAGAAAAAAAAATCCAATCCCAGAAATTTCCTGACAAGCATAAAAAGAAGAAAAAAACCTAAACTCGCCCAAACGTCAAAATTCTATTTCGTGGGGGTGGGGAACTTTTTTCCTTGTTTTAGTACCCTTGTTAATTCCAGGGGGTCCTACCCCCCCCCCCTCTAGATCCGCGCATGGAAGGCGAAGTCGGAACCAGACTACATGCACCCAGGCATACTAGAAACAACCCGGTCTTTTTTTCTGCGTTAATATTTTATATTCAAATAGCACTTTTCAATAAAGAAAGAAATATCTTTAGTACGCACCGTGTTTGTCATCAATCAGGAGAGCTAAAAAAAAAAATCTTAAAACTCGAAAATTCTATTTGGTGATGGTGAAGTGGGGGGGGGGGGGGGTCGTCAACTTTTTTCAGTAATAAATTTTAGTGATTATTTTACTCATATGCCACTAAGTACATGACTTATAATATATAAATTGACTATTAGTACTGCAACAAAAAGTGTAAGGGATATAAGGGATGGGGGGGGGGGGGGGCAAAAAGCCTTTCGCTGAACTTTTCCAGTAGTAAAAAGTGAGGTTTAGGAAACTTACCCCATAGGAGGTCGTCCACCCGGAAGTCAGTATATATAGTATATACATATATTGAGACTTTGATGGTGTGATTGTACATTGTATACATGTAATTTCCTTTTCGAGAATTTTTCCCTGAAATGGAGAAGCCACCTCTTGCCGGTGGAGAGCTGCAAATTTGTCCTATATACGCGGCACTTATAGCCATTGAGCAGTGAGGGATCTTTTTTCGTGCCAGCACCTACTGCGACATGGGACCTCGGATAAAACGGTCTAGATCTCATCCGAAGGACCGAACTCCACATCCTATAGTGGGATTCGAACCGACGACGTATTGGTCGACTCCCTACTACTGTACTTCGTGACTCTATATAGAGCAGACGCCGTAACCACAGTGCCACGCGGGCGACTGCATCCAAGGGAGGGGGGGGGGAGAGAAAGTCATTATCCATATGTACTCGTGAAGATTATCCGCAATGTTTAACTAAATGGTTAAAATGATTTAATTATAAAACACTATTAAAATGATATTATTTAAATATTTATTCATATAGAACCAGGGACCTATATACTAGTATATATAGGTCTCTGATAGAACGGATAAATTTTCTTCAAAAACTGAAAACGTTAGTATATATAAACATTGTTTTACGATTTAAAAAAAAAACTATTCGGGGGGGGGGGGGGGGAGGGTTGCTAGGAATGGGGGCGAATTGCTATATATAGCAAGATTTCCCACGGAAGACTAGCTATATGTTGAAACTTCCCCGGGGGAGTCCCACTGTATAGTCTTCCGAAGGAAGCATCACTATGTAGTCAGTCTTCCAGGGGAAATCTTACCATCTAGCGAGACTTCCGAGGGAATGGCATGCATCGGGTACATACCTGGACTTATAACAAACATCAGTCTTTTAAAAATTTAAGTTTGATTAATAAAGTATTAAGGCAGAAAATTGAAAAAACTCGAATAACCCCGGCACGGGTTTGCTTACCTAATTTTACCAACACTCTTAGCGAACACCCCTGCCACCTAGCGTTATAATGCGGCACTAAATTCGGACAACTTGTACACCCCTACTAATGTTATTGTGATTTAAATTCAAGACACGTGGTTTAGGTTGATCTATTCAAAGGTTATAGGGTAGAACCGGTTTTATAAATAAAATTGGCAGTAAACATGATATTACTATAGCCTGTTTCTTTTGAAAACATGTCCTGTAATAAATGTTTCCAGCCCTTTCTGAAAGACTTTCATGATTTTCAACAGAAAAACGGTGGCTAAAGGAGGGGGCGTTAAAATAACAATATATCTTATACCTTTCAGCGAAAATTAGAGCTCTCTAGTGACCGATTCGCTGGTAAAAAAAAATGTGCATTATCATCCACACTGACAAACCTTTGTTTGCCTTATATGGCTATTGTTATTAATGCACACAGAGTATCTTACCACGAGCAACTGACCAATCGTTGAATGAATAGCAACATTTACGCAAAATAATAGACTGCAAAATAATATAAAAATGTTCTTACGAACAAAATACAAAGGGAAAAAAATGTTAATAAAATGTAGTTTGTGTCTAGTTCGGAACACCAGCGCTTCAAGGGTAAGGAAAATGAGCAGTATCTCTTATGCATTTAAATGGACACAGCTTTGTTTACCTTCGTGATCACTTGTTCGGCCAGGGAATTCACCTGTCAATTGTATTCATCGATAGTACAACACAGGAATTAATACAGACGCAAATCGCTTTTGCTGATTGACTTTCAGAAACCTAGACTTCCGCTTTATTTAACAAATGAATTGTTTTTCATTATGAGAATGAAAATAATATTTTTAAAAATGCTTTTCATTTACCATAAGATTTTCCTTTTTTCAAGCGTAAAATTCCTGTAGTATTCGTAGTAACCCATAATGCAATACTCATTCAGCTGATTGGCCAGTTAAAATCATGCTGGTGCCTCATTTGCTAATCTGACGCCAAAAAATGTAGTCCCGGTTCCCATGCAAAAATATTTGTCCAAAAAGAAATTTTGATTCATGAGTGCAGAAAATTGTATCATATAGAATACTAAGTCTTATTTAAGTTTGAATGAATGTAAAAGAGTTCAATCGATTGAAGTACATTTCTACAGACAGTATCAGCCGAGTCTAGGGTGGTAAAAACTGAAACGCAACATAACTTTTCTGTTTACCATGCCTCCACGTGCTAGTCACTTCCTAGCTACATTTCCGTGAATAATTTACCCTATCTCGCTGAAGTCTCGCTAACTCTCGCCAGAGCCACTGCCAGAGCTACTCTGAACTCATCGGGTTTTATAATTTGCAGAACACCGAAAAATCAAAGGTTCCGAACACATTAGTAGGGGTGTTGTATTCGTCTTCATTGAATATGCTTCATTGTTTGCGTGATTGAGTTAGCGTTCGTAATAGTTATAATCATTTAAGAAACTGTTTCAATTTAAAAGAAAGTAAAATGAATTTACAAGAATAAAGCAACATAGAAGTAAGGGCAAAATGAAGAAGGATAAAAGTCAAAGTGAAATGTAATAAAGACGAATATGAAAACAATAAAGTGACATATAATTACAATAATAACAAAGCATAAAGAAGTAGGCAGAATAAGAATAAAAGCAAGATACATAGACTTTTGGCGGTAATTCCCTTCCATATATACCTTATATAAAGCTTTAGTAGCTGCATGCCCCATTTCATTACAAAAGGTTTTCTTCTGATTCTTAGTGTCTTCAAAACTCTCGTTTGACCAATTGGCCCAAGAAAAATAATTCCATATTATCTGAATTAATAGGATGCATGTACATGTAGGTATGGGAAGTATTTTCCAAAGGTCCCAATATTTATCTGAAAATAAAATATAGGAATTTAAACATTTAAAATTAACGATGTACAAATAATTTCAGAAAAATACTTAAAATAAGTACATGTATTACATGTACCATCAATAGGTTTTCCTCTCTCATCATTTCTTTTTTGCATCTCCTGTCCATTGTACATATGCATCCATACATGCATGCAAGACTTGGGTAAGAGAAAGTCAAGTTTTTAATTGTATTAATTGAATCGTTCAAAACCATTATGCCTTGTTTATAACTTCTCAATTGCACATTTAATGACTCTATGGACTTTTCATTATGTTTAAACTTTTGTCGGAGGAGATTCACAGTCCATATTCTAACCTTTACTATTTCTGAGTCCTGATGGTGTATAATTCTTTGTAAAAAATGCAAGGTACTTTGTGACGTCATTGTCCAGTAATGTATAGATCTCTTTAATTCATATATTATCTGTGCAAGGACTTTCTTTGTCAAACGTGGTTCTGATGAAAGTATGTTAGATGAATTACAGTTCTCTTCTTCAGTAGAGCCATTATGAAAGTTAGTCAAGTGAGTCTCAAGCATTTCATTGAAGTTGTGTAACTTTTCTTTATAAAGTCTCTCGAATATTTTTCCTCGTTCAACTTCAAAGTAAAGTTTCAGGTCATTCTTTGCCTTATCTACGTATGCTTGTGGGTTACTCTGAACACATCGGGTTTTATAATTTGCAGAACACCGAAAAATCAAAGGTTCCGAACACATTAGTAGGGGTGTTGTATTCGTCTTCATTGAATATGCTTCATTGTTTGCGTGATTGAGTTAGCGTTCGTAATAGTTATAATCATTTAAGAAACTGTTTCAATTTAAAAGAAAGTAAAATGAATTTACAAGAATAAAGCAACATAGAAGTAAGGGCAAAATGAAGAAGGATAAAAGTCAAAGTGAAATGTAATAAAGACGAATATGAAAACAATAAAGTGACATATAATTACAATAATAACAAAGCATAAAGAAGTAGGCAGAATAAGAATAAAAGCAAGATACATAGACTTTTGGCGGTAATTCCCTTCCATATATACCTTATATAAAGCTTTAGTAGCTGCATGCCCCATTTCATTACAAAAGGTTTTCTTCCGATTCTTAGTGTCTTCAAAACTCTCGTTTGACCAATTGGCCCAAGAAAAATAATTCCATATTATCTGAATTAATAGGATGCATGTACATGTAGGTATGGGAAGTATTTTCCAAAGGTCCCAATATTTATCTGAAAATAAAATATAGGAATTTAAACATTTAAAATTAACGATGTACAAATAATTTCAATAAAATACTTAAAATAAGTACATGTATTACATGTACCATCAATAGGTTTTCCTCTCTCATCATTTCTTTTTTGCATCTCCTGTCCATTGTACATATGCATCCATACATGCATGCAAGACTTGGGTAAGAGAAAGTCAAGTTTTTAATTGTATCAATTGAATCGTTCAAAACCATTATGCCTTGTTTATAACTTCTCAATTGCACATTTAATGACTCTATGGACTTTTCATTATGTTTAAACTTTTGTCGGAGGAGATTCACAGTCCATATTCTAACCTTTACTATTTCTGAGTCCTGATGGTGTATAATTCTTTGTAAAAAATGCAAGGTACTTTGTGACGTCATTGTCCAGTAATGTATAGATCTCTTTAATTCATATATTATCTGTGCAAGGACTTTCTTTGTCAAACGTGGTTCTGATGAAAGTATGTTAGATGAATTACAGTTCTCTTCTTCAGTAGAGCCATTATGAAAGTTAGTCAAGTGAGTCTCAAGCATTTCATTGAAGTTGTGTAACTTTTCTTTATAAAGTCTCTCGAATATTTTTCCTCGTTCAACTTCAAAGTAAAGTTTCAGGTCATTCTTTGCCTTATCTACGTATGCTTGTGGGTACGTGAAATGTTCTGCATACACTGTATGTAGGTTGAGCAAACCTTCGGAACATTTTGTCATGTCCTCGCGCAGTTGAAGCTGTTTGTCTATTGTCGTCTTGACTAGACTCCTTTGTTCTTCTACAGAGTGGTCCAAGTTTTTTGTAGAATATTTCAGATTTTGTAATTCTGTTTCTAAATTTCTCAGAGATTTTCTATGAAAATTTTGCCAATTCTTTATTTCTGTGAGCTGTGGTTGAGATAACATTTCGCTTTCCAGTTGATCAAGGCCATGTTGAAGCTCAATCATTTTGTACTGAATGACCATGCACCAGATAATCACGCAACTGCATGTAAAGATATACACATATCATGTGAAATTTTGAAAATAGAATACTGTAGATCACTAAGTCTTAATTTTCGCGATAACATTTTTGGCGAGATAGATATTTACTCTGTATATACAAGAGAAAAAAATCACGAATATTGTCTCGAGTTATTACGCGGAATAAAGAGCGATCAACAGTAATCTGGATGCTTACCAGGTCAGAAAACCCGTCAACATTACAGCTGCTTGGGTTGATAAACATTTGAAATAGAACATTGAAAAATAGAAAATTAACAGGAACCTGAAATGAACTGTGAAAAATGAAAATAATTTTGATGATGTACTTTCGTTTTGCTATTTTTAAATTACATGTATCAACTGACCTGCTGCAGATAATCTATCGTTAACTAGCATGGGTGATGTAGCAGCTGAGTAGGCTTAATTATGATAACACGTATAGGCCAATAATAGATTTAAGGAGCTCTTTCACATCCATTCAAGAAATTCTCATTTTTTAAAAATACTTGCAGGTATTTTAAATCTTCTAGTTACTTTAATTGACATATCATTAATCAAAAACTTGTGTTATTAATGAAGTTCATCATAAAACAAACAATGCTACATGTAAAATCATCGATATCTAAAACGAGGCGGATCTAGAGGGGGGGGGGTCGGGGGGGTCAGGACCCCCCGGCAATTTACCAGGTTAAAAAATGTATATACTAAAACAAGAAAAAAGTTACCATGGACCCCCCCCCCCCCCCCCCCCCGGTAAACGCCGACCCCCCTGGTAAACTCGAATATGTGTGAAATGGGTATTTTTTTTTTTTTTTAAATATTTTTTTTTTGCTTGTCAAGAAATTTCTGGGATAGGATTTTTTTTTGACAGGGGTGGACCCCCCCCCCCTGGAAAAAATTTCTGGATCTGCGCCTGGTTTCCATAGATTTCAATGAACATTTAAATGTATAAAATAGAGATTGTTCAAGAAAGGATTCCAAAATGCGGATTTTAAGAAATGTTTTTGAAGGTTTTTGAAATCAGAATGGCATCAACTGATCAGTCAGTAGACTTGGTAATTAAAATTATTGTAATCAGGGAATACTCTTGAGTATCGAGAGACGACGTTAACTTCATAATTATACAGGTGGTAACAACAATTAAAAAATAAATAGGGAAAGATTGCAACTGAAAAGCTCAAGTCAATTCTTTTGTCGAATAATTCAGATTTTTTGTAAGTCACTATTGTGTATTGCCAGTTACTTACTTTTATCGTCGTACGGTGTTTGCGAATGTATTTTCTAAAATCAAATTTGACATACAAGTTCAGAATCTGAACCAATATATTAAGAGTTGACTTAATTTCTTTTGAGAAGTGCCTCGTCGTTCAATATAACTTAAAACAAGTTATAAGAGAAATCATTAAATCTAATGGACCGTTATTCACAATTTTAATAATCAATAGAAAATGCTTTAATGACTTAAACACATATGGATGATGCATCTTACCTTTGCCCTCTTTTTTTCCAAACGTGTCTTCATAATGAAGTTTTATTTTAAACATAAGGAAATTGAAAAGCATATGCTGCCAGTCAGTGTCTACGTGTCAAAAATCAAAATTAACCTTTCTTGCCTATTATCCTTGTAAGCATTGAATTCTGCAGTCAACAAATAAAAACATTATTATGACACATCTTACTAATAGAAAGAAGGGGAGGCTAGGTGTAAAAGGGGGAAGAATGGCTTGGATAATATATGGCGTTATAGTGAGGCTTTTCTGAAGAAGATTCACTATATAACTAGCCTTTCGAGAAAAAAAGTCATTGTGGGGGAACTTCTTGTATTTAAAACCAGGATTAAATGACAATAATCAAACAGGTAATAAGTCTATTTAAAGATATTTTTCAAAAAGAAATTTCGTTTGAGTTAGACCTTTGGTTTCCGTAAAAAGCAAAATAAAGTAATTATTCAAATTACAAGAGTTGTTCCAGAAAAGCGCAAACATTTTCAGTATCTCTTGTTTCACCAAGACTCTAAACTTGAAAAAAATTGACATCTCTATAACTAACATTTTCATCTCAAGTAAACGAATCTAACAAATCAGCTGTCGGCGCAACACCGACGACGTCAAAACGTAGCTCTTCCCGTAGCGTTTGTGAATTTGTTCAGGAATCTATGACTCTAATATAATTTATTCAAGAATAAATTCGGCACTGTATTTTATTTTGTTTTAGTTACTTAGTTATAAATTTCAAATACTAGTGTTACCAAAGACTGCAGAGTTAATTCTTTTAATAAACAATTTCACAATACCGATCAAAAACGTGTCTGATTGAATGGTTTAATAGCCGTCTTCACGTAGGCCTATGACGCCCTGCTCCTGTCTTTTCAGTTCGTCATCATTTTAGAGGTCTATTCTCGTCTATCGGATAAGCAGTCGAGTAAACCTCAAACCCCTTCAACTAGAGAAAAACCTGTTTCCAATACGTATGTTTGTGTTTTTTCATAGTTAACATCTTACTTCCGTATTTGCAGGAGTCATAACCCGCCAAACATTGCGTTGCTTGATAATTTGTTGCTCCACATTACCATCCAACGTCACAAAGTTTGACAATGTCTAACTTTAAATGCTTGGTACATATGTTTGTCATTTGTGACGTCAAATAAATGAGTTTTTATACACGAGGACATCAAATTATAGAGTATTTATTTAGGTAAATTCTGTGACATTATATTTCCGTATACTGTATTACCTTGATAAAAAAGAAAACTTTATTGACAATGCATATGACATTTGCAAAAACTCAAAGATTTGTTGTGAACCGACCACCAATATTTAAAACCCTTTAACTGCTATTTTTATTCGCATATGATAGCAAAGGCCTATAATATTTTGTCAAAATAACAAAAAGACCATTTCCAAACAGCATACAAAAAATTATTACTTTTGGTTGATTATTTGAAATACTAGTATTCAAAAAGTTCACGTTTTTCTGGGACAGCCCTCGTAAAATTTAACTTTTGCCTCATTGATAAGTTGAATTCTATAAAGTATAAAGAAAAAACCGTTATTTCACAACAATTTCATCTTTATTTACAGTTACACATGTCCTGACTCATATATAAGCTCCCTTGGGGCTGTTTTCGTGAAGTTCAAAAACTGACAAAGATAATGCAAAAGTACACGAGAGACGTAAAAACAAAAACATAAACAAGTACATTGTATTTCATACAAAAGTGGAGGAGAAAATTAAATTTCACAACTGCATGTACTGTACAAATTTTTAAAATCTGTTTACAAAATGTTTGAAAAATATTGACATACACTAAAGAAATAGACTGGTTAAAATTTGAACAGGGGCCCTGCAAGTGGGACACCTGGTTAATCTTGTCGAACACTCCGAGCAGAAGGCATGCCCACACTGTAAAACTTTGTCTGGACGAGGTCCATGCAGATGGGACATTCAATCGTCTCATGTAATGACTCATCCTAAAAAATTCAAATGGATGCAGTTTGAATGAACGTGATATGTAATAATTAAATATATACTGGATAATACTTATTACATATACGAGAATAACCCTGGTGAACCAGCATATTTTTTACCATCTATCATCTGAGAGAAAACATATAGCGTCCACAAGCTCCATATTGAAAGGTTATAATCGCGAGATTATATTTTCAAAAGAATGGAGACGTGAGAAGATAACTAAAATCAATAGAAGTCAGTCCATGGATGCAAATTATCATCTTAACTTTTAGTCTTTGGAAAAAAATTAATAACTTGATGCAAATTCTTTCTTAGTCAGATAAGTCAATGCATATGGATGGTCTAGGTTTAAAACAATTCCTCTGGCCCTCAATTAAAAAGGAGGTCAACATATATCTTTGTTAGTTTTTTCTTTATTAACAGTGTAATGAGACATTTTCATGATATTTCATGAAATGTTTCACCATGAAGGTAATGTTGGTGAAGAAAAATTCATACCTTTGTAACTTTAACAGGTATCCGACATACGTTATTTCCATGTATATTTTCGGTGTAGCATTCATATAAGCCCGCGTCAGCCTCCTTTGTATCTAGTACGGCTAGTTTTGATTTCCCGTCAATATACTGCATTGTTATACGTTTGTTCATCTCTAGCTTGTCGTTTCCTTTGAACCAAGAAACCTTTTCTGGTAAAGGAAATCCACATACTTTTAACTCTATTTCCAGAATGTTGCCCTCCGTAACAATCATAGATTTTGGTGCATTTTCAAATGATGGCAGTTCAGCTGCAATTCAATTCAAATGCTAATTTTTAACTTTTCTCTATTGGGATATAGGCGAAACTTGAAATGAGAATTCCTAATTACATGTGATAATCAAACAAAATTCACTTGTTTTTTAAACAACTCGGAATGTAAAGTTTAAAAACTGTTTAGTGACTTTTAGCCGTAATTTGGTAACTAATTCTTCAAGACAATTCTATGAAACCCCGTTGACTTATCAACAATACTTGAATCTTCTTTTATATGTCATCAGTGTCTTGTTGAAATGTAGGAACCTACCATTTACGACCCTAACTTTGCAATATACACTTTCCTCCATCGCGTTCTTCCCTTTCTGTAGGTCATTTCCTGATCTAGCTGTGCATGTGTAATCCCCTTCATGATCTTTAGTCACATTTCCGATTCTTAAAGAGGCTTCCCCGTGCAGGAATTTCCATTTTATATTTCTTTTTGAGCAACTGATAATTTCTTTTCCCTCATGCATCCACGTTACTGTTTCTGCATTATCTACTTTAGCCTCCAAGTTTAACACACTACCAACATACGCAGTAATATTCGCCGGTGGCTTTTGGGTAAATACCGGCTTAACTAAAAAAATATTGAATAATTAATACTTGTTTTAGTTCAATACCAAGAATTAATTTGATTTTCTCTCTACTTTGATAAAATTAAAAATTTTAATAAGAAAACAGAAGTAGGCGTTCATAAACATTATCGGCCACTTGTGGATCATACAGCAATTCTATTTCTCTGAGACATGTCTTTATTTCTTTTTCTTTCTGCTAAAGGAAAATGATTAAAAGACACAATAAAGTCAGACGGTATTATTGCTGTATACCCGGTACTTTCTCTCTCACTGACTAATGCTGAGTTTCGGAGAAGGCCAGAAAAGGATTTTAAAAAATCTAAAGGTTACATAGTACATGCATATATACATGTAGGTGTGTTGATAAAATATTGAAAATAATTTTGTCTACAAAGACAAATATTTTCATGAGATGATAATAAGGAGATGCTATGAGGATATCATTTACAAATATAATATTTATCTGGCACGTCTCAAGAAAGCCAACAAACGACATAACGTGGAAGGTGGACATATATGCAATTGTTTTATTTTTTCTGTCCCACTAGTTCTTGAGCAAGAGATATTCTTTAGCTGCCACCGATTTTTTTTTTTTTAGAATTATTAATGATCTCCCCTTGAAAGAGGGTGTGGAATTTCCCGTAAATAAACGGATTCTCTTTTACTTAAGGATGCATTTTTACAGGTTTCGTTGAAATTGGCACGGTGGTTTGAGAAGAAGTCGAAAATGTTGATAGACAACATATGAGAGACAAACGCTCCGGACGCTTTTCGATCAGAAAAAGCCCACTTGAGTTTTCGGCTCAGATGATCTAGAATGCTCAAGATGGAGGTGAATGGAAAGCATATTTCCGATAGATGCTTGAGGTAAGTTAAGTTGAAAATAATCCAATGGTTTTTTAGAAGACTTTAGGAATTTAAAGTAAAATGGACGAGGGCGTTTCGGATAGCAATTGATAACCTATTCAGATGACATAAAAATCTCTTAGTGTTCAATGAATTCAGTGAGATACCATGAAAGACATAGATGAAGAATCTGTGCGCTAGTTTGTCCTTATTTTCCCCATATTTTTCTGCAACACAGGTATATTCGCCTTCGTCTTGAAGTCTTGCACTTTGTATTCTTAATTCAGCTTTCGAGGATTCAAAGTGTTCGGTGAAAGAAGTGGAATACTTGATCACATGATCCCTTCCCTTGCACCAGTAAACATTGTCGGCGTTTGATACTTCTGCGGTCACAGACAATGATTCTCCGACGTCCGAATTCACACTCCTAGGAAGCTTTTTAAAAAGTAACTTTTCTGAAAATTTAAAAACAAGTCTTTCAGATCTTAAACAAATTTAGTCTGAACATGATTACTAAAAAGTTATTTTTAGCTTTAAAATCTTTCACATGATTAATTTATTATGATGTGATGAAGTGGATGGTGCAATGTTAAATACAATTAACATCAACTGACATGAATTACCAGTCTTTGTTTCACAGTTACCGTCAGAGGGACGATTCACAAATGTTGTATGATCCATGTAACATTTTTTATTGCCTAAAAACAATAAAGTTTTACGTTTAGATACAAATCATATTAGATGCATTTATCGATAAATCTTGAACATGTGAAAAAAAAACTTAATGCTGTTCATTTCCATCAGAAGGATAGGAGACAGTTTGACTATTTTTGGACATTTCTTGAATTTCGAATTTCCTAAAGTTGCTGGGTTTCACTGTTCTAATCATCATCTTCATTTTAAGGGAGAATAGAAAATGAATTACGTACAAAATAATATGCTGAAGATGAGGATGAAGAAAACAAAAGCTGTAAAAATAGATGACACGACTTCCACATAGAACGACCATCCTTTACTTAGAGATCCTGACAATTTTGCCAAGGCAAGCATAAACGATATCACTGTGCATGTTTCCAGTACAACTGAAAAATATTCAATAATATTGAATTATAGATATGCATATGATTATTATCATTCAACCATTGACGTTATGAAATACCGTTAGTTAAAACATACTCAAGAGGAACGTTGAAATCACATTTGCTCTCGCAAATATCTTTGCTTTTTTGCAACATGGTCGACAAGATTCACACATCGAAAACACACAGCATAATAAACACAGAGAACCAAGGGAACAGGCTCTGATCAAGGCATAACGAGTGAGAATTAGATACTCTGAAAAAATATATAAAAAATACAATATTACCACATATAATTTGTCGATCAATACCTTTATATCAAAAACTTGTATGAAAATTTGGTTGAAGAGGTTTTCCGTTTTGTTTGTCCAGTATCAACTCTCTACTTTCAATATTTTGACTGCCTCTTTTTTGCAGTGCAAGTTCATTTAATTTTAGTTGAGAAATTTGACTGTGTGACTTTGTGATTGAAATGTATTCAAATATTTGTTTGTGAAATCTACAAGTGCATAAGAAGATATGACGTATTACACATCACACGTATCATCACGTGAAATTATTTGGAGGATATGTGGAATCCGATTGTGAAAAGGATAGAAACGTGCACCGGATTGATGAAGGGTTAGAAAATATAATAATTTTTTTTCTAAGTATTGAAATAATATAATGAAATAGGGGTATAGGAACAGTAAGCAAGCTCAAAGGTCGATTGAAACAACACAAATTGTGAGCAGAGCAGACGTTGACCTCTAAAATCAACATAAGAGGAGATCGGGAGCCATGGAGAAAGAAGTCTCGCCTGTCGGTAACCCCTGCCATTGGGTCCTTGTCATGATCAGGCATATTGAAAAACTGTAGGAAATTCAGCGTTTAAAAATAGCCTAACAATCAGTATGAAAATACGTTGGCCAGCATTCATTTTTTTAAGTGTATCCACATCTGAATTACACCACCAATTATTGTTGTACTGTATTCCTAGAGTTTCTTTTTCACTGCAGTTGTAACAATTAATATTTTAGTGAGGAATAAGATGAGAGGCTTTCGATGGACATTTACTAAAAGTGTAGGAATCCAGTGTAGGTATTGTAATTCAAATTCATTTTATTTGTTAGGGATATTTGAAACTGGCATAATTTAATAATTAAAGAATTTCCTTCTTAGATTGGAAGATATGGGTATAAGTTGGACCTCCAATTGCAGATTTACATAGCCCCTCGGTAATTTTGCAATTAAAAAACTTTAAGTTGTATATCTGTCACCCCTCTCCTTTTTAATTGATAGTTCTTTTTTTTGGGGGGGGGGGTTTGGGTTTACAATACCGATGCTGGAAGTGTCTTACTTTTAACAACCTTTGTCAAATTGTTTTATTTTTCAAGCTGTTAAGCCATCTGAAATCTTCCGTCTTTTTCAAATAAAAATGAATTAGAGTATATATTATGACAGGAAACAGAAAAATGAACAAAACACAAAACAATAATATACTGGATACAAGGAAGCCAATTTTTTCAAGGAAGAGAGAACAATCTTTTAAAGGCGTCATATGATACATGATTAATAGAAACCCGGAAACCAAGAAATAATTTTTGCGGATATTTTTTATAGTTCAAAATAAATTAATCAAAAGTAATATACACGAGAAATAAATTTTAGTTTGAAGGAAGACCCACTTTATTACGCAGGAATAAATTTCCCGTGGGTTAAAAGTGTTTTACAGTATGGATCTACGAAATTATTTCTCTTTGCATTTGAATGTTTCAGTCCAATTTTATCCACAAAATGGAGAACAAGTATATACGTAGCCAAGACTGGTAACAATTTTAATCAAATTAAACATGCATTCAATTCAAAAAGTCTTGTTTAATCATTTATTAACTAAACTACTGGTAAGTCTGGTAATCAGAAAAGTTTTCAAAAATATTTTATTCTATTGAAGAAACGACTGGGGGGGGGGCAATTAAATTATCTGAATCTTCTTAAATATGATTGTATTTTGTATTTACTTAAATAAAGTGCCTTAAAATTGTAACATGTAAAGAGGACTTCTGCTAACACTTTACATTAATGGTTTGAAACCCACTTTTAATAGTGTTTGTATACTTTCATATCATAAAATTTCATATCTCCCTTGTACTGTTTGTAGTTCATCTGTAACACTATGGCAGGCTGTGACGTTGTTGGTACAATACCTGAAGACTCCAAAGTAGAAGCTTGTTTCTTCTATCCAACGACCGGTGATCAGAGCGTACAAAAGTCCACTACTTATCAAAGCGTAAACAACAACCAAGGAGCCAATTAGTTTCTTCATCACTAGGATTCTCGTTTAATTAGAACGAATTACATTTATAATCCTTATTTTTGATAGAAAAGAAGTTTAAAAGTTTGACCGAGTTTGATCAAATGCACAAATTTCAATATGCACAGGACTTAGTAAATTATAACAGGTAGTTAAGGTTGACAGTTACGTATAGGAATACAGTTATCTATAGGTATAAAGATTTAGAAGGCTTGCATGTGTAGAACGTGAAATTTTTCTTTAAATGAATTCTTCCTGTTCACATTGTTAAGGGCGCTTTATAAAGATAATTGATAACATTTTTGAATCACACGAAAAAGAAGACTTGCTGTGGCCTTCAGCTCGACATTTTGACATATATCGACGATGTATATGTACTATCAGTAAAAGTAGTTATTATTTTCATTCAAATGTCGAATCGATATATCCCAGTGAACTTAAAATAGAAGATATTTTACGAGTCAGAAACATCTGTTTCAACGTTTGGGTATTTTACTAACAATAAACGGTGATAACCAATTTCAACTTACAACTAAACGGTGTGACAAAATATCAACTTTTCCACCCTCTACGTTTATGTAGTAATATCCTGCAATCACCTGCTTATGGTGTGTACATCTCCCAACTTGTTCGATATTCAAGTGCATGTTCTGAGTACGATCAGCTTTTAAAACAGCAGGCTACTGGTATATCAGTTGATGTTACAGGAAATTTTACAACCTCGTTTAATTTCCTAAATTCTTTGGTCGTTATAATGACTTTGATAGCAAATAAAACCTTTCACTGAGTCTTTTTTTTGGGTTCCTGTTTCTTACCAATTGTTTGATAATGGATTGGACTACAGTTCCGTCTATTTACACAATACATAGGATTTACGATGGAGATGGCCAATAAACAGGGTATGTTTACTCCTGCTAGGCACCTGATTCTACCTCGGGGATTTCCAGGGATTTAAAATAAATTCAAATAAGCACCTTTTCAATTAATGTTTGAAAAAGGATTTAATAGAATGCTGGATCAAAAGATCTTTAAAGAGGCTGGGGGGTGACAGCCATTTTCAGACTATTTTCATCTCCTTTAAAAGAAGAGCTCAATATAAAAATCTTCAAAAATGATATTTTAAAACTAAAATGTTGACAGCTTAAGATACCGTATCTAAACAAATATATTAAATCTGGTGGTTAATTTGTGGTTAATTTGTTGACCCCCTAGCCTCCTTAAGTAGCGCATTGTCAAACTAAAGAACATGTATATTTTCAATGGCAGCTTTGAGGCTCTAGCTGCCCTTGTGTGTACAGATAATGGGATAAAGGTAGTGGTTTTGATATATGATACATGTATCTATATTGTTTAACGATTTTAATTTTAAACAAAACGTCTGAGGTAGCTGCGGTAAAACTGTGTTCATTTATTTCCACCTAAATTGATGACACAACCCTCTTGACTTTAACCTGCCAATACACAAACTATGAAACCTTGTAATCATATCTGCTGCATCATGTACAATCTGTTGAAGATTTATTTTAGACAAACCTTTGAATGGAAGTGAAGTTGACTACACTTCCAAGCACAAATAAGGAAAAAAATATATTCCCGGCGATGTTTTATTGTTATATATAGAATAGCGTGCTAACAAGAATTTTTCAGCTTAGAGCGGAAGACTTCTTTCTGTGTCGGGTTGAATGTGTTGTAGATACTAAATATGGAGTTCCTGTCACGCAGTTCTCTGAGTTCTTTCATTCTTTCAACGACAGTCAACTTCTGCGCAAAAAGACGTCCTTCATCAAGATGCTTAGAAGAAAGCTCATAACAGTAAACGACAGTTACCTCAGCTGAAAAGCGCCATTTAAGTCACTATGAATTGAATAATTATGTTAGTAAAATTCTTCAAAAAGTTATTTTTTTATTTTTCAGTTATATGAAAATACCATACCACCAGTTCCTTGTAGCATCAATAGAGTTTCTCTTTTCAAACCTCCCTGTTCTTCCTCTATGATTAGGTTCCTTTCGTTGTAATCCACAAACATAAGAATAACCTGAATAAATTCAATTCCAATTTAAAAGAAGAATTAGGCACATTTGTGTCTAAAACAAAAAGATACATGTAATTGTACCGATAAGAAAATGTTCTGAAAGAATGCGTAAATTTGATGGCAGAAAAATATCAACCTTAGATGGGGGCAGAGTATCCAGACTTTCTGTAGAATTGACTACAACTTTCTTCATTTGTAGAGAGAACCCAGAGCCCATCAACTCAGAGGCCAAATGTACATACTTCTGTTTATCAGATCCATATCCAAAACAAACGACACACAGCGAATTTTCAAGGTTTTCCTAAAATAGATAAACAAAACAATAATCTTTCTCTTTCTTAAGGAAACTGATTCGATATATTCAGAGATATTTGGCTGCATCTTTGAAATTTTGTTCAACACCTTCGATTCAGGTATGGGTTGGGGTTTCTTTTTAGTTAAAGAACTCTCCATCCATTGCTTAACTACTTCTTTATTACCGCTTGGCCTGTTTGTCCAAATAACATAAACCACCGATGCTATTACTAGTAGTGCAGGTATTATTAATAAATCCCAAATTCCATCTACATAACAGAAAAAAAAATATGGATATAAAAATGGTTATTTTCAATATTTTACAGAATTTTTTTAATACTTGGACTACGAAATATTATTTCTAATTGATCAATGCTGAGCGACCATGGAGTGTGGCCGATCAAAAGGTGATGCAACCTCTTCATGTGCGTCTAAATGTAGTACTTGAAATGTACATGTATATATTTACCAGGTTTATATTGCAACGTTTCCATTCCATCCGGTCCTTTGATGCATTTCCTTTTTATTTCATGTCCACATCTGTATGCAAAACTTGGATAAGATAAACAAAAGCTTTTCAATGAGTTAATCGTATCATTTAAAGACAATATTCCTTTCTTATTACTTTTCAAATGTACATTCAAAGCATCCATAACTTTTCCATTATGTTTAAACTTTTGCTGGATTTGTCTAACAGTCCAAAGTCTTGCCTCTGCTAATTCTGAGACCTGTTGACGTAAGAGTCTGTGCAAATAGTGCAAGGTGCTTTTTGACGTCATCATCAACTTCTTCATAGATCTCTTTAAATCGTTTAATATTGGTACCAGAATATTCTTTGTCAAATGTGATTCAGATGAATGTTGGTTAGATGAATTATATTTTACTTCTTTGGGAGATTTATATTTGATAAATTGTATTTCAACTATTTCATGTAAATTGCGTATTTTTTCTTCATAAAGATTTTCAAATATCTTTCCTCTTTCGGCCTCAAAGTGATGTTTCAGTTCATCTTTTGCCTTATCAACGTATGATTGTGGGTATGATGGATGTTTTGCATGAAGGTTTAGCAAATCTTCAGAACATCTTGTCAGGTCTCTGCTAATTTGAAGTTGTCTTTCCATTGTCGTTTTGACTAGATTCCTTTGCTCTGCTACTGACTCAGCCAGACTGTTTACAGATAGTTTAACACTTTGTAACCCTGCTTCTAAGCTGTTCACTGAACTCACATAATGATTTTGCCTTTTCTTTATTTCTCTAAACTCCATCTGGCAGATGTGTTGGATCTCCTGCATTTTATGCTGAATGACCATACACCACAAAATCGAGCAGCTAGAGGTAGACACGTACACATAAATAAAAAAAAAAGTACCACGAGATTTTGAGAGTGAAGCAACAATAAAAAAAAATAGTAATCTGGAAACTTACCAGGTGAAGAAACCTGTCAAAGTATGTGCCCATAATAGCCTTTTAAAATTAAACTCTGATGACATCAGGTATCCTACTTTTTAAAACGTTAACTGTTAAAAAAAGAAAAAAAAATCAATACTGATTACGGCGTAGTAATAGTGATAATCAATATGCTGGTCAACATCTGTTGCACTTCATTGTAATTTGTTGAAATTTGAAATTGAAGTAGAGGGGGCAGTCAGAAAAAAAAAATCGACAAGCAATTTTAAAAATGACATTGAAAGAAAAATTAAAACTGACCAAACTGTGAAAAACCGACTTCCCAAATCCTGTCATTTTGTCATTGTTTATAATATCATTTAAATTGAGATCCTCGCCGTTAAGCAAAATATATTCTCCCTGCACATGGCAAAGTGTACTGAGCACCACTTTTTTGCGAGTTGATTTTCAGCTTCCATTCGGTATTTAAAATGTGTTAAATGTAAGAGGAGTTCCAGAATCAGGTTTTTGTAATATAAAAAAAAATGCGATTTAATTCTCATGTTGCCGCTGAGTGTAATTGAAAATCAAAAACACATATTGCTCATCTACGCTCCTATTCATATTCACAAACACAAAGTTCCCCTTTTTTTAAACTTAACTTTTTACCATAAAAAATGTAAATTGAAAAGAACCCCAAACAGCTGAAAAAATTGCCCCTAATCCTCAACATAATAAGATTTTCTGGTTTGGACAATCTCCATTTTAAAAGGATTTTTTCATTAATATATGGTAATAAACTGGTTATTAACTGGTATATAATGCCTTTTGTTAAACGCCTTATTATGCACAATTCAAACAAACTTTATCTACAAGACACTCGCATTCTTTTCCTAGAAAAATCAGTTTAGGGAAACGCATAACTGTGAGAAGCCCCGTTTCGTTAATTATTGCCATTTAGAAATACCACCATTTCAAAAAACTGATATCACCTCATAACCATGCGTAAAACCCTAACTCCTTTTTTTAAAATAAATATTGCAGTTGTGTGTAAAGTTGCAATGGTTTTCGAGGGGTGGAAATCTAAACGTTAAACTAAACTTCATGCAAATTTATCATATTAAACTGAATATTTCATACAAATACACGTAACAGTAAACCTTGTGCGCATAAACTCTTCACAGTCAATATATTAATATATATATTTTTAAAATATCATCCGTTGTCAAACAGTATCAGCTAGCTGTAGCTATGCTGGAAAGTGTTGCTTCATTATTCAGCAGGTGATGGTGTTTTGAAGAAATGTTTCTTGAAGAATCAGATACCACAAATTTACATGACAGTATGCAAATCACACTATTATATACAGTGTATATATAACAATAAATATCAACAGGCCCCCTCATACGTTATTGATAGCGCTTGCATGAAGATAGATTATGGTCAGATTTGTGCTACCTTATATCAAATAATCATATTTTAGACTTGACCAGTACGTACATGTACGTCAATAAAAATAATGAAATCTTGCGGTGTTTAACTCTTAAATTTGAAACTGGAGAATCTGAGCCACTCAAAGACATAATCTTTATTTACGTGTTAAATTTTAACAATGGTATATAGGTTTAATTATCAAGTGTTTTTTTTTTGGAAAAATTGTACTGTTATATCAATACAAATGTCTTTATGCTAAATAATTTACTTCTTACTGACGACAATCTTTGTATTCATAACAAAATCAATAAAATAATTTATGAGATAGTCAACTCGTAAAAACAAGTTAGATAACTTATTTGTTAAAAGAGATAAAACTCGTTCTTACGAGATAATTCGTTAAAACTTTTCAATAAAAAGCCCTTTCGGCTTCCATAAATACAAAACAATTCTTGCATTACGTAACTGTGTTTAGAGTTAAAGCGGATGTTACATATTTCTTTGGAATTTCCCTTTTAAAGTAAATAATGTACATAGATTCATAAAAACACAATAAACGTTAGAAAGTTTTCAATATCCAAACAAAAAATTTCTCGAATGTGTATCCTGACATCTCTTCTGTTTAGGCGGCTACAGTTCAAAATATTATAATCAGAACATAATTTATAAAAAATTATTTACACATCCTTTAATTTATAAATTTTTTCTCATATGTACGAGTTATTCTTTTTATCAATAAAATCTTCATTGACTTTTCATGCTTAAGGTAATTACATTCATAAAAATTCTTAATATGTACTGTAAAATACTTGAATTGATATCAGATTATTTTATACATGTACATGGTTAGAAAATTTTGTTCATAAATGAGTCGGCTACCCGAAGTGCTTATAACAATGATATTTATTCTTAAATTTAAGGTTCAGATAAATATCCACATTAAAGCCGCTGAAACCATTCGAACTGTTAAAATACAATGTATAAACTAACAAGTTTCATTTAAGACAAAATCAGTTCGATACTAATGACACAAAGAAAAAAAGTAACTTACTTTCACTGTGTAGTATGCTAAAAAGAGATAACATTGTATTAAATGGAAAACAGGATACGGAAGGAGAAAAAGGATGTATGTCGTCATTTTCTTACATCCCTATCGTACTTGCATGTGCCTAAAAACTATATATATATATAAAACAAATGTACATGTACATTAGATAATTTCTAATTTTATCTTTTGTATACTAGCGTTTTTCTAGTTTTTGGAAGTTACCAAACGTGCAAGTTAGTCAGCATTTTTTTTTATTACATGGAATAAAATCACCTCATCCTGAAACATAACACTAATTGATTTTAATTGTAAAAAGTGATCATGTTTATATTAATCACCAAAAAATATGGGCAGCGGAAAGGGCAAAAATTACCATAATGAGAAAACAAACAATTGTTTTAATTTCAATGATCATAAAAACTTAACAAATGATATACAATGCATAATCAACAGAACTTTTCGCAGAACAAGTATACATTAAAGCATAACACACGAACAAGTAAGTAACAAACATTCATGAATGCAAAACCAACGATCATCTTTGCAGTACAAACGTACATAAAAACACGACAAACGAAAAAAACTTAACCAACCTGCATGCGGTAAACCTAAACTTCCCGACTCCCGGCTCCCGACGGTATCGGATTTTTTTTAAAATTTCTTTTTTGTCGGTGCACAGAAACTCTTCAAACTTCTCAGGCACATTTTCTTTTTAAATGAATTCAATAATATGTAAAAACTTAAACAAATTTGCGTATTTATTACTGAATCAGCAGTATCACCTTCAAAAAGCGGTAAATGTAGTACTCCGTTATAAATATGAAAACCAAAAACGGACATCGATACAGAGAGGCGTAAGTGTCGTAGATAGTAAAGGTGCATGGGCACAGATTTGAAGTTAATATTTTCTGTATAATGTTTCGACTTATAATATTTTAATAGCATTTCACACAAAAATTATATTAAAAATTTTATTTCATCTAAAAGTTAATAAAACTTCAAATTTTTAGACGGGTTTGATTGACACATCCTTGCACTCTCACAAATTTTAATTTTATTCTTAATACTTAGGAAAAGTGGCAATCTTGTTTCAATAACTTTAAGACGAAATAAATTAACTTCAAATCTGTGTCCATGATATTTAACGTAATGATATTGATTGTGTGTGTGTGTGTGTGGGGGGGGGGGTGTTAGGTTCAATATTCTTTCAGTGTCAATTTTTTTTCCTAATATACATGTACTACATAACCCTTTTTTGACCTTACTCTTAAAATTGGGAATTGTTGCTACGTACCTGTCATATGATATGCCACTGTAATGTAAAGTTATCATAATAGATTCTTGTAATATTTAAAGAATTGGGGAAAACCAACTTATGTAACAAGAACAACAAAAATTGACGAAACGGCCTTCAGGAGAATGAGATATTTTTCTACATTTTATGTAAATTCTTTTCTTTCATTTTAAGATGAATTAACCCCCCAAAAAGTAAAAAATTTAAGGGGGGACTGAGGTAGAACCACGTCCATGTTGTATAACATAAACATAATGTGGTAAAGAGTTCTATACAAAAAAAAATGTGTGGGGGAATTTCTGTGCATACAAATTATCTAGCATGTAAATGAGGGTTTTCATTTATTAAAAAATATAAACTGTACCTCAGTTTGTTGTTTTTAATCGCGATTCTACGAAAACATTTGTGTCCTTTTTTCAGTGGTTTTCGCATTTATAGCTGAGTACTAGATTTACCGCTTTTGGCAGATGATACTGCTGATTCAGTAATAAATACGCAAAGAAATATATGCGGTATATTGCATATATTTGCCCCCCACAAAAGCCAAATTTTGAAAACTTCCTGAAATGTGCTGAATTCAATAAATTGTATGAGAAATATAAATTAACAGAACATATTATTGTTTCAAAGTAGTTTATTCACAATTTTTGTTTTTATGACGTCACAAACTAGTCCGATTTTATATCCTTTTTCAGAAAGAGGACAAAATGAACAAAATTTCAACAATATTAGCTTTAAAATTTTAAGAGCGCAAGTTTGTTCAGGAACAACATTGACATATTTCATTGATATTATCATTCTACACATTATATCAAAATGTTGAGCATGAACACACATGCGCTCGGTGACTTTTACTCAAAATATCGACGAAATATGTACATTTTTCTGAAGAATTCATAAAAAACTGAAATTTACGTCATGTTTGTGACGTCATTTCGTACATATGACGTCATTTCTTATGAAAATATTCAGTGCGCTGAAGTCAGCATATACCCCCCTTTTTAAGAACATAATTAAATATTTCTCCATCAAAGTTTGGTTTGGGGGGCAAATATCGGTTATTACCGAATAAAGTTCTTTGTTAAAGTTTTTATACATTAATGAATTTTTTTAACCTAGAAATTTGCCTAGAGAAGACAAAAAAGAAATCGGCAAGAAAAAAAAAAAGAAAAGAAAGGAAAACGGGACCGTCGGGAGCCGGGAGTCGGGAAGACTAGATTTACCGCGTGCACGTTGGTTAAGTTTTTTTCGTTTGTCGTGTTTTTATGTACGTTTGTACTGCAAAGATGGTCGTTGGTTTTGCATTCATGTATGTTTGTTACGTACTTGTTCGTTGGTTTTGCTTTAATGTATACTTGTTCTGCGAAAAGGTCTGTTGATAAGCATTGTATATCATTTGTTAAGTTTTTATGGTCATTGAAATGGTATAATTGGTTGTTTTCTTATTGTTGTAATTTTTGCCCTTTCCGCTGCCCATAAAAAAACCTTTTTTAAAAATCATTATGATACAATTACTACTCTAAATAAGATAGATGAGGATCGACATATATGTGTAAAGTGTTTTATTTTTCAATATCATTTATTTATTTTTATCATTGATACATCCTTACCTTCTTCCGTACAATGTAAGTCTTAGAGAGTAATCAAAATATGAAATGCGAATGAATGACTAGAGCTTTTTTCAGCTTAAGGACCTTTTTCCGGTTAACTTACACTGTACTGTCTTTGTTTATTAGTCCAGATGAAACCACAGGGGACTATAACTTTCATCTGAATCTGTCCATCCATTTGTCCCTGTGTCTGAATCCGCCATTAAAAAAATATTTCAAATTTTCTTCTTAAATCTTTTGAGTGGATTTTGTCGTATATTTTATACTGAATGGAAAAAGAAACGCATTAGAACAAAATATGAGAACTTTTTTGACAATGTGGCCGAAAATTGGTCTGATGTGCATTTAGGTTACTTAATTAACACTTAAATCGCTGTTCAAAATGACTCGATCATGAAATGTATAGCGTCACGTAGGGAAAGTGATAAAATGCTAAAAACACGCGCAAATTGATGATGAAAATTTTGTGATCATATTGTGTAATGCTAAACGATGCATTAGAGTTATACACATCGTTTTTCCATATTTGCAGTCAGTATAAATTTCTTGTTTGTTTTTAACTTTTCAAAAAAAATTTTTTTTTGGTTGTCAGACAATAACTTAAGAAGTTTCCAACTCATCATGACGGTGACGTTAGGGCGTAACAACGTCACATCAAGATAGGGCTTTTCACCATGCCATCTAGAGCTCGGTTATCGCCAAGGCATTTTCACTGAAACCGATATTTATTCAGCAGACAATCATACTCATTTTTCACCCAAAAATTGACAGAATCTTTCCGCTCTAATTTGGCTAATTTGGTCCGTGAGCTTGGCAACTTTAACGTCGATTTTACTCTCACATGCGTACGTAAGCGTCGCATGCGTAATGTATTTAGCACATTCACACTGGGAAAATGTAGCAAGTGTTTGTTGAGACTTTCTTACAAAGATTCACGTGTATCAAACCAGCTGGGTTCTGTAAATTCTATCCTTAATCGAAAATTCGTGGGATTCATTGGGCGGGGAGATTTGTTGGCTTTAGAATGTTACAGCTACTTTCAACCATTAAGACAACCGTCTGAAGGGTTGATTAATGATAATAATTAATAATCCTATGCGAAAGATAAATGCTTTGGCGAACTCAATGCACA